GGCGGCAGGCGAGCGTGTTTGCCGAAACGTTTACGATTTTACTGCACATTGCATTCCCGGCGAGAGCTTCTCGCCGTGAAGCACGTTTTGCTGACGCGGTGTAAGTTCTCGATATGTCTGTGCAGTCGAGCCGCGCTGCGGGGCCGTGACCCATTAACTGCGCAGCGCGCATGCGCGGGCCGGCCGGTACATCGCACCGTCGTAGTCGGTTCGACTGCGTAACGATTGCACGGACTCTCCCACACCGTCTGGATGTTAGATCGATCGAAAGTAAACCCTATGATAAAGGAGGGAGCATGTTTTTAGCGTATAAAATGACGCGACGTATGGCATTCCAGTTTTGCCCGAGACGTGCGGAATGTACTAAAGTTATTTTTTATAATCTGTGGAGCAAAACTTCTCGCAACAAACTTATATTTTTGTTTACTTCGTTACTATTTATGTCAGCGATACTGAAAGTTAATACGCCGCAAATATACAGGAAACATCGCGATATATCCCGTATTTAACCGGAGTAAGGAAATAGCGTGAACTGATCTATACAAGGCATAGGGATGTGAAAGATATTGAATTAAATAAGTCCGATATTGCAGATATATTCATGTTATGAAACGTTTCACTTTAACGGGATAGTATGCACTAAGTGGACTATAATTAAATTATTCAATTAGGCACAATTATGTAGGACCGAGTGTATTCAGTTAGTACTAGACGGGATTAAAGTCAGGGTGAATCACTCGATATTTGCGTGCTTTGTTTATGTTTTAGTTATCGATTGGCGAAGGGTGCACAAATAGTGGGTTTGTCCCTGGAGCATATCGTGGGGAGACATTGCAATGTTAGGGATGTACCGTTATATAAACTTTGTGTTCTATCGATACTCAAATAATTTTTTTTACATTCAACGTTGTTTAACTTTATCTTTTACACTGTTTATTGTAAGAAATTTTTAACTATACAACCAGAAAATAAACTCTTTGATATACTGTTTTGATCATCTTGTAGCAAGAGTAGATAGCAACCCTAAAATCCAGCACCCTCTTCCTCGTAAAACATTTAACTAGTGTTTAAAATTAATTCTCTTCCCCTCGTGTTTCCGTGTTTAACCACAACTCATGCAAGCTGTTTGTACTGATATTATTGTACATATAATCTAGGATATTTGCTATAACGATTTTTCTAATTCGTTTAAAAATCATCGACATGTTTCATGACATGACATCGACAAAAGGTGACACATCACTAAAAATGCGTTTAAACTTCCTGTTGTGCAAAAGGTATCCTTAGCAACAAATGTGTCACAGACACGAATCAAAATTTTACATCAGGATTCCGACCTAAAAATACTTTCGAAATCTAAATTCAAATCATTAATTAATTAATCGAAACAAGTAATACGATAGCTAACCTTTTCAAGACTTGAAAAATTTAATGGGAACAATTGCAACATAAATAGCTAGTGTGGCCATAAAAAAGGCATAGACAAAATTATCCGTGCAATCATGGCCACTAAAATAAAATCACCCAACACTAAAGTATCCATCCTATCACAAGTAGCACGTATGTTTTAAAAATAATCAACAGCTGGCTGTATTTTCAACCTTAGCACTTAAGAAATAAGGTCACATAATTATAAAAATTCGAAGCACGTGAACTTGAGGGCATGACATCACCTCAACAGAATTATCTTATAAAATAATGAGACAAATGATGACATAATAGTTTAAATATTGTCGTGTGATGACGTCAGAGCTTCTAGAAAATTCGAAGGTCTCAAGACGAATATAAACAACTTTAGGTGAGGACCACGAGCCAACCCTGTTTAATACATGATTTAAAAAAATTGAAGTTACAAAACCATTTTTATTTTCACTAATTCCTGGATATCTTTGCCATGTGTGTGGCCATCAAATCATCATAATCATCTTTCTTCCTTATCCTACTCTAGTAGGGTCGGCGCAGCAGGTTTTTGTTCACCAAATAACTCTATCATCTCAGTCATCACTCCCTTTTT